CAATATCACAGGCGGGGGACACCAGAAATGGGCTTCACACATTGAACCCATGTGGGGAATCGAACCCGGGTCTTCGGCGTGACGAGCGAACGCTTTAACCACTAGGTTACCCCACCGCCTTTGTTCATAAAGGAAATTTTAGTGGGACGTATATAGACCACGTGAAACGTCATAGCTTCCAGCTTGTGAGTATCGATTGATGGATTCCTTTAAGTATGATGCTAGTTTAGTTCACGTGGAATACCATTAGGAGAGTAATGGATCATGGTTGCTCTTGTAGGAGGCCAATACAACTAAATGAGTCCCGTATGTACCCTGTATGTGTCGTGTGTAACAAGTATCATCTGGATAATAGCTTCTATATTGTACCACGTGGGTGTCCTGCATGTGTCCTGTGTATGTCCTTTCTGTGCCCCGTATGTGCCCTGAATGTGTCATGTATATGCTCTTTGGGTGCCCTGTATGTGCCCTGAATGTGTCATGTATATGCTCTTTGGGTGCCCTGAATGTGTCATGTATATGCTCTTTGGGTGCCCTGTATGTGCCCTGAATGTGTCATGTATATGCTCTTTGGTTGCCCTGTATGTGCCCTGAATGTGTCATGTATATGCTCTTTGGGTGCCCTGTATGTGCCCTGAATGTGTCATGTATATGCTCTTTGGGTGCCCTGTATGTGCCCTGAATGTGTCATGTATATGCTCTTTGGGTGCCCTGTATGTGCCCTGAATGTGTCATGTATATGCTCTTTGGGTGCCCTGTATGTGCCCTGAATGTGTCATGTATATGCTCTTTGGGTGCCCTATATATGTCTTGTGTGTGTCATGTATATGCTCTTTGGTTGCCTTGTATATTTTCTGTGTGTCATGTATATGCCCTTTGGGTGCCCTGTATATGCCTTGTGTGTGTCATGTATATGCTCTTTGGTTGCCTTGTATATGTCTTGTGTGTGTCTCGTATATGCTCTTTGGGTGCCCTATATATGTCTTGTGTGTGTCACGTATATGCTCTTTGGGTGCCCTATATATGTCTTGTGTGTGTCACGTATATGCTCTTTGGGTGCCCTGTATATGTCTTGTGTGTGTCATGTATATGCTCTTTGGGTGCCCTGTATATGTCTTGTGTGTGTCATGTATATGCTCTTTGGGTGCCCTGTATATGTCTTGTGTGTGTCACGTATATGCTCTTTCCGTACCCCGTATGTGTCCTGTGAGACCCACGAGTGAACCATATATGTGCCCAATATATGTTCCTGTGTATCCTGTGCTTACCACTAGCTGTGTCCCCTGTGGCATTTGTATCCTTCTGTGGCGTATATATGCACACTTTGTACCCACTTAGCCATGCGTTCTGTAGTAATCATTACAAGTGTCCAGGCAAGCGTAAAAGCTATGTGGAAGACAGCAGTGTGTGACGAACATATGTTACTCGGTACTCTAACCCACATTCATTAATTATTCAGATAAAGGCCGTGACAGGTAGTTGTATATGGATTTACACCGCTAAAAACACGGTCACGACAAAATGTAATAATACGATGACCTACAGTCCATCCTGTCAGCCCTCTGTGTAGACCATCTATGTAATATGTGTTGTGATCTGAGGAACATCCATGTAATAAGTGTTGTAATCTGAGGAACATCCATGTAATATGTATTGTAATCTGTGGAACATCCATGTAATAAGTGTTGTAATATACTGTGGAACATCCATGTAATATGTGTTGTAATCTGTGGAACATCCATGTAATATGTGTTGTAATCTGTGGAACGTCCATGTAATAAGTGTTGTAATCTGAGGAACGTCCATGTAATAAATGTTGTAATCTGAGGAACGTCCATGTAATATGTATTGTAGTCTGTGGAACATCCACGTCATATGTGTTGTATACTGTGGAACATCCACGTAATATGTGTTGTAATCTGTGGAACATGCATGTAATATGTGTTGTAATCTGTGGAACGTCCATGTAATAAGTGTTGTAATCTGAGGAACGTCCATGTAATAAATGTTGTAATCTGAGGAACATCCATGTAATATGTATTGTAGTCTGTGGAACATCCACGTCATATGTGTTGTAATCTGTGGAACATGCATGTAATAATGTGTTGTAATATCTGTGGAACATGACATGTAATAATGTGTTGTAATCTGTGGAACATCCATGTAATAAGTGTTGTAATCTGAGGAACATCCATATAATATGTGTTGTATACTGTGGAACATGCATGTAATATGTGTTGTAATCTGTGGAACATGCATGTAATAAGTGTTGTAATCTGAGGAAAATCCATGTAATATGTATTGTATCTGTGGAACATGCATGTAATATGTGTTGTAATCTGTGGAACATGCATGTAATATGTGTTGTAATCTGTGGAACATCCATGTAATATGTATTGTAATCTGCGGAACATCCACGTCATATGTGTTGTATACTGTGGAACATGCATGTAATATGTGTTGTAATCTGAGGAAAATCCATATAATATGTATTTTATACTGTGGAACATGCATGTAATATGTGTTGTAATCTGTGGAACATGCATGTAATAAGTGTTGTAGTCTGAGGAAAATCCATGTAATATGTATTGTATTCTGTGGAACATGCATGTAACATGTGTGTGTAATCTGTGGAACATGCATGTAATATGTGTTGTATTCTGTGGAACATCCATGTAATATGTATATATGAGGAACATTATAATGTGTTGAACTGTGGAACATGCAATATGTGTTGTAATCTGTGGAACATCCATGTAATAAGTGTTGTGTTCATCCATATAATATGTATTGTATATGGAACATGCATGTAATATGTGTTGTTATATGTGGAACATGCATGTAATATGTGTTGTATTCTGTGGAACATCCATGGGATATGTGTTGTAGTTTGTGAAACATCCATGGAATAAGTGCTATAATCTGTGGAACATCTGTGGAATATATGTTGTAGTTTGTGGAACATCCATGGAATATGTGTGTTCAAGTATGTGGAACATGCATCTAATATGTGTTGTAATATGTGGAACATCCATGTAATATGTGTTATAATATGTGGAACACCCATGTAATATGTGTGTGGTTTGTGGAATATACGTGAAACATACATGGAATATGTGGTGTAGTCTGTAGAACATCCATGGAATATGTGTTGTAGTATGTGGAACATCCATGGAATATGTGTGTGTAGTATGTGGAACATCCATGGAATATGTGTTGTAGTATGTGGAACATCCATGTAATATGTGTTGTAGTATGTGGAACATCCATGTAATATGTGTGTGGTATGTGGAACATACATGGAATATGTGGTGTAGTATGTGGAACATCCATGGAATATGTGTTGTAGTATGTGGAACATCCATGGAATATGTGTTGTAGTATGTGGAACATCCATGGAATATGTGTTGTAGTATGTGGAACATCCATGGAATATGTGTTGTAGTATGTGGAACATCCATGTAATATGTGTTGTAGTATGTGGAACATCCATGTAATATGTGTCAATGTAGTATGTGGAACATCCATGTAATATGTGTTTATAACATCCATGGAACATCCATGGAATATGTGTTGTACCTATGTGGAACATCCATGTATTATGTGTTGTAGTATGCCGCATCCATGGAATATGTGTTGTAGTATGTGCTTCCATGAACATGTGTTATAGTATGTGGTCCATGTATGTGTTGTAATATGTGGGGTGGGTGAGTTTACTTTTGCAGTGAGTTTATGTTTTACGCCGCACTGGAAGTGAGTCAGTGAGTTTATTACGCCGCACCCAGCAGTATTCCAGCTGTACGGCGGCGGTCTGTAAATAATCGAGTCTGGACCAGACAATCCAGTCATCAACAGCATGAGCATCGATCTACGCAATTGGGATGCGATGACGTGTGTCAACCAAGTCAGCGAACCTGACCAACCGATCCCGTAAGTCGCCTCTTACGACAAACATGGGTTACTGAAGACCAATTCTAAGCCTGATCTTCACGGCTGTGTAGTCTGTGGAACATTCATGTAACATGTGTTGTAGTATGTGGAACATCCATGGAACATGTGTTGTAGTATGTGGAACATCCACAGAATATATGTTGTAGTATGTGGAACATTCAAGGAATATATGTTGTAGTATGTGGAGCTTCCATGTAGTGGGTTGCTGTCTTTTGAACAGCTACGTAATATGAACCATACAGTTGACATTCCACGTAATATAACCTGCAATATGTGCAAGATACATGTCGATGGAAAGTCAGCTGTAATCAATATCTGTGGTAGTCATGTTGCAAAATGATGTCGAGGAAACAGGGACATGTAATTGATGGGAAATCGTGTGTGCGCCTTCAGTAACAGGTATATAGATATGTGTGTACGCGCGCGCGCGCACACACACACGTACAAACTCGCACACATACATACATACATACAGAGATAAAGAGAGAGAGACTCACACATACACACATATGTAGATATAGATAGACATACATACATACGTACACAGAGAGAGACACAGACACACATATGTAGATATAGATAGACATACATACGTACAGAGTGAGAGAGAGAGAGACACACACACACACACAGACACACATATGTAGATATAGACAGACATACATACATACACAGAGAAAGACACACAGAGACACATATGTAGATATAGATACACATACATACATACAGAGAGACAGAGAGAGAGAGACACACACAGACACACATAAGTAGATATAGATAGACATGCATACATACGTACAGAGAGTGAGAGGCACACACACACACACAGAGAGACACACATATGTAGTTATAGATAGACATACATACATACACAGGGAGAGAGACACACACAGACACACATATGTAGATATAGATAGACATACATACATACATACATACACAGAGAGAGAGAGAGATACACACACACCCACACATATGTAAATATAGATAGATATAGGTATACAGTGTATGTCCCAACATGTACCTGATCATTGATACTTTCGTTTCAGGATGGCGGAACCAGGACGCATTGCATTTTGTGATTTTGAGAAAAGAGAAGAAATGTCGCCTGGTCAGATCGCGGAAGTCTTCAACAAAGTTGCAAGTGTGTATGATGAAGTGAGTGCATGGATGGATGATTGGGTGCCTGGGTGGGTATCGGGTGCCTGGGTGGGTATTGGGTGCCTGGGTGGGTATTGGGTGCCTGGGTGGGTATTGGGTGCCTGGGTGGGTATCGGGTGCCTGGGTGGGTATTGGGTGCATGGGTGGGTATTGGGGGAATGAGTTTGTAACTAGATTCTGAGCTAGTACGTGAGTGAGTACGCTACTCCACACTGTAACTACTTTCTATTTGTGTTAAGCAGAATTAGAACATTTGTCCACAATTCACACGTTTGGGGAATTTCCTTCCCGTGTGTACTCAGATGAATATTTGACTTACCCACGGATGGGTAATAGGTTTTGGTTAGGCATAAATAGGAATTATCGGTGAGTTTATCACTGGAACAATGTTTTCAACGGGGAATTATCAGTGAATTTATCAAAGAAAACAGTGATATCAGCGGGTAATTATCGGTGGGTTTATCACAGTAATATTTGGATCAATGGGGAATTATTATCAGTTTATCACTGGAACAATGATATTAACGGGGAATTATCGGTGAGTTTATCACTGGAACAATGATATTAATGGGGAATTATCGGTGAGGGAACAATTATAACAGGCAATTATCAGTGAGTTTATCACCGGAACAATGATATTAACATTATGGAATCACTGGACGGGATATTAACGGGGAATTATCGGTGAGTGAGATATTAATGGGGAATTATCGGTGACACAGTAACAATGGAATGAATTATCAGTGAGTTTATCACTGGAACAATGATATTAAGGCGGGGGAATTATCGGTGAGTTTATCACTGGAACAATGATATTAATGGGGAATTATCGGTGAGTTTATCACTGGATCAATGGTATTAACGGGGAGTTATCGGTGAGTTTATCACCGGAACAATGATATTAATGGGGAATTATCAGTGAGTTTATCACCGGAACAATGATATTAACGGGGAATTATCGATGAGTTTATCACTGGATCAATGATATTAACGGGGAATTATTGGTGAGTTTATCACCGGAACAATGATATTAACGGGGAATTATCGATGAGTTTATCACTGGATCAATGATATTAACGGGGAATTATCGGTGAGTTTATCACTGGAACAATGATATTAACGGGGAATTATCGATGAGTTTATCACTGGAACAATGATATTAACGGGGAATTATTGGTGAGTTTATCACTGGATCAATGATATTAACGGGGAATTATCGGTGAGTTTATCACTGGAACAATTATATTAATGGGGAATTATCGATGAGTTTATCACTGGAACAATGATATTAACGGGGAATTATCGATGAGTTTATCACTGGAACAATGATATTAACGGGGAATTATCGATGAGTTTATCACTGGAACAATGATATTAATGGGGAATTATCGGTGAGTTTATCACTGGAACAATGATATTAATGGGGAATTATCGATGAGTTTATCACTGGAACAATGATATTAACGGGGAATTATCGATGAGTTCATCACTGGAACAATGATATTAATGGGGAATTATCGATGAGTTTATCACTGGATCAATGATATTAACGGGGAATTATCGATGAGTTTATCACTGGAACAATGATATTAATGGGGAATTATCGGTGAGTTTATCACTGGATCAATGGTATTAACGGGGAATTATCGGTGAGTTTATCACCGGAACAATGATATTAATGGGGAATTATCGGTGAGTTTATCACCGGAACAATGATATTAACGGGGAATTATCGATGAGTTTATCACTGGATCAATGATATTAACGGGGAATTATTGGTGAGTTTATCACTGGAACAATGATATTAACGGGGAATTATCGATGAGTTTATCACTGGATCAATGATATTAACGGGGAATTATTGGTGAGTTTATCACTGGAACAATGATATTAATGGGGAATTATTGATGAGTTTATCACTGGAACAATGATATTAATGGGGAATTATCGATGAGTTTATCACTGGAACAATGATATTAATGGGGAATTATCGGTGAGTTTATCACCGGAACAATGATATTAATGGGGAATTATCGGTGAGTTTATCACTGGAACAATGATATTAATGGGGAATTATCGGTGAGTTTATCACTGGAACAATGATATTAATGGGGAATTATCAGTGAGTTTATCACTGGAACAATGATATTAACGGGGAATTATCGGTGAGTTTATCACTGGAACAATGATATTAACGGGGAATTATCGGTGAGTTTATCACTGGAACAATGATATTAACGGGGAATTATCGATGGTTTATCACTGATCAATGATATTAACGAGGAAATTATCGGTGAGCTTGTAACAATGATATTAACGGGGAATTATCGGTGAGTTTATCACTGGAACAATGATATTAACGGGGAATTATCGGTGAGTTTATCACTGGAACAATGATATTAATGGGGAATTATCGGTGAGTTTATCACTGGAACAATGATATTAACGGGGAATTATTGGTGAGTTTATCACTGGATCAATGATATTAGATATTAACGGGGAATTATCAGTGAGTTTATCACTGGAACAATGATATTAACGGGGAATTATCGGTGAGTTTATCACTGGAACAATGATATTAACGGGGAATTATTGGTGAGTTTATCACTGGAACAAATGATATTAACGAGGGAATTATTGGTGAGGTTTATCACTGGAACAATGATATTAACGGGGAATTATCGGTGAGTTTATCACTGGAACAATGATATTAACGGGGAATTATTGGTGAGTTTATCACTGGATCAATGATATTAACGGGGAATTATCGGTGAGTTTATCACTGGATCAATGATATTAATGGGGAATTATCGGTGAGCTATTATCACAGGAATGATCGGTGAGTTTATCACCGGAACACGGAGATCGATACATTTGGGCATCTGAGATGAGTTACACGTCACTTCCGGTCAAGTACTTTCTTGAATTAGCATCAGATCTTCGTGCTGTTCTGTATCGTTTGTTGTTTACAGACAGCCACACTCAGCAATACTCCAACCACAGGAAAAGCTGTCTGTAAGAAAATTGAGTCTGCGCCCTATAACCCAGTGAGCGGAACATCCACCTTCCTAATTAATCAAGGGTTTTGTAGTTTTACTAATCTGACCATCCTGTCCATTTGGTTCCCTCTTAGGCATAAGTATAGGTTGAGGGGTAACTATTTTATCCGGTCAACCAGCACACCTCAACTACCTTAAAATACGTGGAATAAATAACACTGCAACGAAACGTGTTCTCTTTCGCCCTTAGAGAACCAAAAATTGAAATTAGTGTTTTAACAATTGACGTTCGGGATATTTTACGACCGCTTGAAATATTTTGTTAACCATGACGGTGTGATTGTTGCTGTTTACCACAGGAATCAGCAATATCAAAGCTATATTGCGGAAGCAAGTTGTCGTCAAAGGTCACCTAATATTATTATAACGGAAAGGTTCCAGGTGATCTGGTGTGTGTTGAATAACATCAATAACATCTCTGAAGAAGCATTGATGAGTACATGTACAGATACTATTATTAGACCTTGGTGAGGCATGTCAGTATTTATATTTTCATTTAAAATCATGTAATTCTATTATGCACAATCCAAGTCGGTAGCTATAGAAGAGGAAATATTTGAGGAAAACTCATTAAATTTTTTCCATCAAAGGTTATTGGATTGTAGTTGAAAAGTCTCGATTTCCGACACACCGCCCCAGAGTATACGCGTATGTTTGCTCAACCGCTAAGATCCGGGTTAAAACTGGTCTTCAGCAATAATCATGTTTGTCGTAAGAGGCGATTAACGGGAACGGGTGGTCAGTCTTGGTTGATGTATGTCATCGTATCTCAGTTATCGATGATCGTAAATCGATGATCGTGATGTCAGTCACTGGTTTGTCTGGTCCAGACTCAGTTTTTACAGACTGCCGTCAAATATATTGAAAAGTTCTGTGTACGGCGTTAAACAACAAACAATTTGAAAGAGTAGTCTCAATGAAATAAAAACGAGATCGCTTTGTACAGCTGACGGTTTCTGTGTTCCAGACGTGGAAAGCCAGAAATTACAGGGACCACGTGTATGTGGCTGAAGGTGTATTGGACTACTACCCGGGGGACAGAGAGTCTGTCCGTGTGCTGGACGTGGGGGCCGGGACTGGCATGTTGGCGGAGGAGGTTGGTGGGGGCGAATTGTAATCTCTTTCAAACTTTCATTTCTCAGAACCTAGATGGCTTTCCAAACCGAGTAGGAATGTGAGTATAATGTTACGCCGCTTTTAGCAAAATTCCAGCAATATCACGGATGGTAACACCGATTGGCTTTACAAATTGTACCCATGTGGGGAATCGAACCTGGGTCTTCGGCGTGACGTGCAACGCTAATTACCACTGGGCTATACCGCCGCCCCTTCTTAAAAACCCATATAACATTCATCCCTATTTTGCTGATATATTAGTGAAGATATTATTGTATTTACTCATTACATAATTGGTATTTTGCTCAGAAATCGCAAACTTGCTTCAACCATTGGACATGTTTAGTAATACAATAATACCACCACTCTTCGCGATAACTCTTAGTTTGTTGTGTCACGTGGCACTTAGCATTACTTCAGCTTCAAAAGGATGGTCTTTAAACTATCATATCTGGACGAGACAATTCAGTGATTGCCATCATGACCATTGATCTACGCAATGTGGGTGTCGATTACATGAATCAAAGTCAGCGAGCCTGGCCACATTTGCCTCTTGGAATACAACATAAGTTCGATTCCGTATGTTCAAGGGTAGATAACTCTTAGAAAAGAAGTGAGTGAGTATGGTTTTACGACGCTTTTAGCAATATTCCAGCAATATCAAGGCGGGGGACACCAGAAATGAGCTTCACACATTGTACCCATGTGGGGAATCGAACCCGGGTCTTCGGCGTGACGAGCAAACGTTTTAACCACAAGGCTACCCTCACCGCCGCCTTAGAAAAAAGAACAATTATTGTGAATGATTTGTTGCAGTTATGGAAGAAAGGGTTTCGGCTAATGGACGGCCTTGACCCCTCGGATGGTATGAAGGTAGAAGCCACCAGGAAAGGCGTCTACACTAATTACTACACGGAATTCATGGACGGCAAACCTATAGACGGATTGGCGACAGGTAGACAGACATACGCTGTTCCTCTCATGTCATATCGAATCTGAAAACACATTCAGGTCTGTTTCGAAAGAAAGGACTTGTAACGTTTATTAATATTTAACTGTAATTGTAGAAATCTTTATATGTAAAAATATATGTTCGTCATATATAGTGTAAACACAAGTTACTTTAAATGCACATTTTAAGACAGAATTGCTAGGTTATTATGAAAGCAACTACAAAGAAAAATCTTATGTAGTATGTGCTTTATATTAAGTGTAAGCAAGACAAGTTACATAATGTGTACATTTTATGGCATCATTACTAGGTTATTATGAAACTGAAAGCAATTACATTACAAAATCTTTAGATGTAGAAGTACTTCATATATAGTGTAACCAAGACGAGTTACATACTATGCACATTTTAAGATGAAATTACAATGTTATCATGAAACTGAAAGCAACTGCAATGAAATTGAGTGAGTGAGTTTAGTTATACGCCGCACTCAGCAATATTCCAGCTGTATGGCGGCGGTCTGTAAATAATCGAGTCTGGACCAGACAATCCAGTGATCAACAGCATGAGCATCGATCTGCGCATTTGGGAACCGATGACATGTGTCAAGCAAGTCAGCGAGCCTGACCACCCGATACCGTTAGTCGCCTCTTACGACAAGCATGGGTTACTGAAGATCAATTCTCCCCCGGATCTTCATGGGTAAACTGCAATAATAAAAAAAAACAGATTGAGGGAATTTCACAGTAAATGGGCTACATATATGTTCATTATTTGACGGGAACTGACGGGTGTTGGAAAGGGTATCACTGCGGGAGCTCTGAGCTCTGAAATTACCCGTGCCATTCTGTTCAACCCAAATTGAAGTAATATAGAATTGAGTATGTCCTGTGTGTTGTTTTCAGATGCCTTCGATTGCCTGGTGGTAGCCGCTGCCTTCAATACCGGATTCATCCCATGTGCAGCTCTTCCTGAGATGGTGCGTTTGGTCAAGCCAGGTGAGCTGTGGCACTAATCTGAATACGTGTATCTGAATTGTTGACTTGTCATTGCGTGCGTTTGTGACGCGTACCGCTGGCGGCACTTCTACGTTAACCTGTTATCATGAACACCTAGTATCATCAGTAGTTGATAGCGATTCATTAATACTTGCTGAAGATGTTATTCTATTCGTACAATGGACTTAGTAGAAGCTTTTGTCGTCACCTACTCTTGGGTTCATCACTTTTAAATGTAATTCCAATCAAACCGGCGTTATATCACTCATTCCTGTCAAGTAGTATATTATTAAGAATTATGCCTTGGGATTGAAAGAAAAAATGACACATGACGCATGATTTGACCTGTTAAGTTTGACAGAGTAGCCCAGCCTTGTATTGTATTAAGGTTTTATAAAAACATGAATAACCGTTTGTCGGACACAAAGGAGCTGGGTGTTTCAAAAATATGTAACAGATGAACCCTAAATCGCTGATACATTTCAGGTGGGTTGATATGCTTCGGAATCCCTGACTCCCGGTTCACAGAGGTCAAGGACTACGTGAACCGACTGGCGCCCCTAATGAAGATGATGGAAGAAGGGGGAGTGTGGCAGCTTTTGGATACAAAATACTGTCATGACTTTTACGATAATACAAATCCCGGGAACGTCTTTAGATATGTTGTGAAGGCATCGAGTATAGATGCAGCCAAATATATTGACGGACTATGTCCTGTTGATTAAATGTATCTAATAAACGTATTTATGTCATATGTTTATTGGAAGTGGGTGAGTCTAGTTTTACGCCGCACTATTATATGGCTCAGAAATATGCGGATTCCATCCTTCTAAAGATATTGTGAATGTTCATGATACATTCTGTAAACTCACATTAAAGTTAAGAAGATCTGTCCCTAATATAGCTGCGAGAGCTGAAATTGGGAGATACTCGTAAAAAGTAAACCAACATTTGAAAATAATTAAGTATTGGCTACGTTTATTATCCCAAAGTGAAAACAGTATATTACATTACAGTTATGTATATCAGTACAACAGGGCTGAAAAGGTTTTGGATTGTTGGGCACTTAAAGTTAAAAACCTCTTATGTTCCTATTGATTTGGTGAAATTTGGAACCGGCAGTCTGTTTCCTGCACTCAATCATTTTTATCAGCTTTTAGAACACGATGTACTAATATTGATAATCAGTTTCTCTATGAATCGCTTGAAAACCTATCTTCACTGTATTTTTATAAAACAATTAAGTTATCCAGTGAATATGAAAATTATTTAAATGCTGTGAATATTCATGCATTTAGGATTACTCTTTCACAGTTTCGTACATCCAGTAGTGATCTCATGATATCACAGGGTAGAAAATTAGGCATACCTAAAAGTGAAATTTGTATCTTCCAAAATGTAGAAACAGAATACCATGTCTGTCTAGTGTGTCCATTCTATAATGACCTTAGATGAAATTTCCTGCCAAGTTATTATTACAAATTTCCTTCAAAGTGTAAATGTAAACTTTTATTTACCACCAAAAATACCATAATGATTAATAATCTTGCCAAGTTTACTTTCTTTGCTCTTAAAATAAGGAACAAGCAATTGTCCATTACATAACCTATTACATCTATATTTACATGCTTATTGTACCAGATATAACTTATTGCACTCAAACATAGCTACATGTACTGGTAGCGCAACATCAACATCTTTGTCAGTCTATGCATGGGCATGGGTAGAATGGGCCTGTGGCCTGATTTACCGAAATATGCCACTATCAGCCAGGGTAACAACAAGTACCATGTTTACCGTATTTTCCTGTAACGCTGCAGACCTTCCGCTCTCCGTGAAGATGCTCTGACCCCCACACCAAGTTGTCAGTTTATAAACACAGAAACGCGATACTAGTATTGCAGCCCATAGGGGAAAGAAAATTTAGTGAATTTAGCAAATGTTGGAAAATGGTGATCCTGTCAGAATAAAACACAGTTTGGGTACAATTCGTGAAACGATACTACTGGAATATAGTAACTGTGCATTATTTGATGTTATGCTATTTTTAATGCAAAAAACAACAATATGATTTGTGGTGTTTTCCTTAATCACAGTTTAACTGTTGACAGGATAATATCGACATCTGTATGATTTGACATTAGCCATCGTGACAAGCCCTTGAAGAGATGCGCTGTCAAAAGTCAGTTCACAAATTCAGTATCGTGAGTATTGATGCAGGCTTGACAACGACGACGCGTAGACGACAATAATCGATTGATGAAAGCTTGGGGAATGTGGTTCATGTCTAACCCAACGCTTGACCCAATTCAGCTAACGTCAATTGCTGATTCTGGGCTTGACGTAAACGTCCCTCCATTTCATCCCAAGCGACAAGTGGCCGGGCATTATCTTGCTGAAGCGTGAAGTTACGGCTCTGCCATTGAATGAACGGCTGCACATGAGGCCCGATGATTTCATCCCTGTGTTGCCATTGACAATGACAAGTTGTGTCCGACCATTAGATGTGATGCTCCCCCATACCATAACGTTTTCGCCACCAAACGAAGCATGCAAAAAAGTGAGTAAGTTCATTGTGCACAAAGTGCGTGCCACGCGCGATACGTGACATCAAATTTCACGCAAAGTGCTTTCCTACATGTTTATTTAGGGTTATTTTTATAACTTTTGAAAGAAATGTTATTTTATGAAATTTTATGTTCTCCACGGTTACTTTTTTCTGTTAGTATATATACTGAACATCATTGAAAACGCACCACCTATGAATTTTGAAATATGGTAACAGTATTGTTTTGAGAGTGAAAATGAACGTTGGAAATGTTGTTAATAACACAAAAGATAATAAATGATGTTGTACAGTAAAGAACGGATTGCCGTAACACATCATGGAACACATCACATGACAACAACAAAATTCACGCACAGCACACACGAAAAGCACAAATTGCATGCGTAAAACATGCTGATTAGGTGTATAAATGACCGTCGGCAAAAAACCGTTCTCATTTTAGCTGTACCTCCGCAATTTTATTTTGCAATGCCAAGATTGTCACCAGAGGAACGAGAACGGGCGTTGGGCATGTTGCATGTTGGCACATCAAGCAGGATTATTGCCAGACGATTTGGTTGCCATCATTCCACCATCATAAGACATGCCAACAGGTACCAACAAACAGGAACCACCAGGGACCGCCAACGTCCTGGCCAGGCACGTGTTACCACCCCTCACCAAGATCGAGACACTGTTCGGCGCCATATTCGGGATCGTACGTTGCCGGCTGCCAGAACCGCCAACGCTGTCCAAGGCCGACGTGGTTTGATCAGTGCTTCCACCGTCCGACGCTGTCTCCGTGTGTAGCAGGATTACGGTGTCGACGCCCTTATGTTGGACCCAACCTGACTGATAGACATCGCCGGGAACGCCGACGATGGGCTGAACAGCATCGTTTGTGGTTTTTACGACGTTGGCATGGTGTTGTGTTTTCACTTTTTCACTTGCGAAATGCTGACGGGCGTCTACGGGTATTGCGTCGACGGGGAGAACGTTACCATCAGGGCTGTGTTGTGCAAACAGATCGGTGTGGTGGAGACAGCATTATGGTTTGGGGAGGGATAAGTTATCATCACAAAACTGCTCTGTTAGTTTGTCGTGGTAGAGTGAATGCCCTTTACTACCGTGACACCATTCTTCAGAACAACGTCGTTCCCTTCTTTAACCAACATCAAGATCTGTACACAGATCAACAGATCAACAACCTTTGGGAACTTGAGGATGCCTTGCAACAAGAGTGGAATGCATTGCCTGAAAACATTATTCAGAGACTTATCAGTTCGATGAGGAGATGTTGCACAGCTTGTGTTGCTGCTAACGTTGGTCATACACGTTACTGACTTTCCAATTTGACTCCATCTTTCTTTCATGGTCAGCTGAATTAAAACTTTACTGTTTTGCTGGATTGGTTCTTGTTTCTTTTCTTTACCAATCATTGGACTACAAAAGTATGTAAAATTTACACCGAGTGCTCATTTATGCTCTTGGAAATCCAAAC